CCCCCCGGCGGTGCCGCGCCCCCGCAGCAGCCGGCGATGTGCTTCGTCAGGCCCGTCCTGCTGTTCCGCGTTAATTACGGGGAGAACGGGCACAAAGCCGCTTCGGTTCGCCCTTTCCCAGCCTGCGGGCCTGGAAAGGTTTCCCACTTGTCTGATTTCCCCCCCCCCAATCTTGTTCTGCTCCGTAATGAGGCTTTGTCTTCCCCTCTTGGTCACCGGCGCTCTCCAGCTCACGTGGACCCACAGCTGCCAGCCGGGAAGAAACCACCCCGAAGCAGGTCGGCTGCATCAACCTCTGGCAGCCCGCTGCTGCCCCAGGAAGGGGCTTTGCAGAGAAATCCAAGCTTCCGGTGGGGGAGAATGACATTTAGTTCCGTTTTGCTACGGCTTTAGTTTTATTTTGTTACATAGCTCCGCCGCGGTGCGGAGGCAAGGGGTAACTGCTGCCATTTGGGTTGCTGACAACGACTGCTGTGAGCTCAGATGGAAATCACAGGGACTGCTGCGAGATAGGTGAAGGGAAACGGGGACGGAGAAGGACCGATAACCAGAAATTTATCCTCTACAAGAAGCATCCCTCTGGCTGAAACTGGTTTTGTGGTTTGGGACTCAGCCAACACAGACAACTAGGGAATTTTGAGCCAAAGGTGAAAAGTACGCAGCGAGGAAGACGACGAGCCTTTGCGAGGAGGACTACGAGCCTTCATCCAGAAGACCCCCACAGACAACCACCACACGACACTGCACAGGCGCTAAAGAGGGGCAGAGTATGATAATGAATCCTTAGAAATAATTATAATCATCACGCCTATTCCCAGAACTAATTGTTCTGTAGGTAATATCCCACCTACTTAGATAAACTTTGTCATAAATAGGTGCATGCTTTGCGACTCGGTGTGCAAGTTAGGAGCAGCGATCCCCCTTGCACCCGGCGCCGTAACAAACATACCTGCTTTATAACTCTCCGTCAGCTGTCAAGTTTGTTTCCGCACGTCACCTCCTCTTTGCAAAAAGCTCAAAGCTTCTGAGGCCAAGGACAGGTATTTTCCCGGGGTCTGGGTCCTGATCTACCCAGGCACCGCAGCAAACCCTCCCGAAGTGTGGGAGGGAGCTGAGATGGGAGGGAGCTTCCGAGATGGAAGATGGAGCTGGTGGCTGGGGTGCTGGAGAGAATCATAGAACGGTTTGGTTGGAAGGGACCTTGAAGATCATCTTGTCCCAACCCCCTGCCATCAGCAGGGACATCTTCCACCAGCCCAGGGTGCTCAGAGCTCCATCCAACCTGGCCTTGACCCCTGCCAGGGAGGGGGCAGCCACAGCTTCTCTGGGCAGCCTGGGCCAGGGTTTCA